GGGGGGGGGGGGGGGGTAGAAATTGAGGCAAAAAGAATGACAAAAGTTTACTTTTGAGGGTAAAGAGAGAATAAGAGTGAGAAAGATAGAGATGAGGGAGCTAGCGCTATAATGACATCACTAATATACTGTAACAGTCTTTGAGATATATGTAGATATATACTGGAGGTTTCAAAGCTAGTCTAAGCAAAAACTCTCATTTGAGCCAGAGAGAAAGACGAGACACTGATTCTAGTCTGCTGTGAATCAGGGTCAGAAATGAAGGCTCAGGGCAAAAATTCCAGCAAAACTTACAGAAATGCCCTATGGTGAATTACTCAATTTTCTAAAGTGTAATATGTTTCATAATATTGTACTCAGCGTTGGGAAGGTTACTTTGGAAATGTAATAGGTTACAGATGTTACCCTATTTAAAATGTAATACGTAGTGTAAATATTTCAATTACATTATTAAAGTAATGCAACTGATTACATTTGATTTCTTTTTGATTACTTTTCTAAATTTCTAATGAATGCTTTCAACTGATAATCATTTTCAATCATTTAAAGCAGACAGGGTTAACCTTACAGTAGCACTCAACACTGATTACTGTCAGACTTTCAAAAGACTTTCCTTCATCACTCGAATTAAGATTATTAAGTATTTTATTTTTATTAAGATTATAATTTTAAAGCACAGCCATCACAAAATCAGACTTTAGCACCTCTTTTTAATTTGATGTCATTCTGAGGTTAAATACAGATTTAAAATCATAAAAATATATAGTTTAATAGCTATGATACTGTTTTTGAAATCAAACCAGCTATGAAACACTGGTATCTAACAATGCTGAAAAAAGTTCATCTTGAAAAATAAAGCATATACATAAACCCAAATAGGAAATAAAAGAGTTATTAAATAAGCATGTGTCCTGTTCTGTGTCCTAAACTCCTGAAACATTGGTGTCTCATATTTTAGAGCAGTCTGTGCAATTTGGGAAACGATTTAATTAAATCTGTATGTTTGTAAAAAATATTCAGATGCAACCCCCTTTGTAATCTGTAACATTTTCATAAGTAACTGTAATTTAAGTACACATTTTTTTCTCAGTAACTGTAACTGATTACAGTTACACTTATTTTGTCATTAAATGATGTAATTCCATTACATGTAACTCCCCAACACTGATTGTGTTCTATGTACATCTTGGGTTTAGTATGTATTAAAGGGGTCCTATTATGCTCTTTTACAAAGTCTTTTTTTTTTGTTTTGGGGGTGTACTAGAACAGGCTCTCATACTAGGATGTTCGAAAAAGACATTATTTTTCACATATTTTACATTATTACAACACCTCTCTCCCCAGTCTGGCATGAACGGCTTGAATAGTTCCTGTATCAAATCAAGGCCCGCCTTCTGAAATACGAAATGTGCTGTGATTGGTTAGCTGGGCCAGTGTGTGTTGTGATTGGTTAGCTGGGCCAGTGTGTGTTGTGATTGGCAGCACTCGGTGCCTTGTCAGGAAATGTCACGCCCCTTACCATAGCCGCCTGCGAGCTTCAGTGTAAATATTGCATTAAAATCAAATCAATTTGAACGCGATTTAAACCCGGATGATTGTAAACACTCTAAGTTCTAAATTGTCAAACACAGAGACAGAACATATAGAACACATCATGCCCTCTGACTCAAAGGCATATTGTTCCTCTTAATGATAAAACATACTGCAAGTTTACTTAAGTTATGTATTTCTTAGAGACATTAACCTCTATAAAAGCTCAGTTCAGTATTGTGTACTTTAGTCCCGAGTGTGGCTTAGTTATGTTTGCCTTTCATATCCATGGTTGCTCTAATGTATGAACGTGCTAAATATATTCTTTGTAAAAATTATTTTTATCCTGTTGAAATATGTGCATATAAAAAATATTTCCCTTTGAAATAGCACTGTACTGTATGGAATTTATTAAATATTAAGCTCTATTCATTCAACTAATTTCTACACTGCATCACTGGTTGCTTTTTTGAGTGTTACCTCTGATTCATTATGGTTTGATCCAAGAAGAGGCAGAATTGGCATTGAGGTCCTGCTGTAGCAGTGGCCCTTCCGGCTTGAACCACTCCTCTGCTGGGGGGGAGACTGGGTTGGCGCCTGCAGCTTCTAGTGTTTTTGTGGGTGGGGGGTTGTGGGATTTGGTTGTGTAGAGGGGTGTATTTGGAATATGTGGAGGTTGGTGGAAAGGTGCAGGAGTAGGAAGGTATAGTATAGAAAGAAAGGCAGAAGATGTCAATCATGCCGTTGCAAAAAAAGAGCAGATTCAAGAGGATGTGACGCAAGGTGCAGAAGATAAGGAGAAAAGGGGCAAGATGAGGGGATGGATGGAGGGAAAGAGACATGGGCAGAGACAAGCCAGGATGGGAGGCCAGGAAGAGAAAGAGAATGAAGTAAAAATCAATGAATGAGAGCAAGAAAGAGCAAAGGCAAGCCTGATAGATAGACAGATACACTCTCATCTTTTTAAGTGGGAGAACTTGCACAATTGGTGGCTGACTAAATACTTTTTTGCCCCACTGTATATAGATAGATAGACAGGTAGATCAAACAGACAGACAGATAGATAAATAAAGAGAAAGAGAGAGAGAGAGAGAGAGAGAGAGAGAGAGAGAGAGAGAGAGAGAGAGAGAGAGAGATACAACTAGACAGAGAGACAGACAGGTAGCTGGTTTTGTGTTATTCATAATTGAGTCAGGAATTTTCATTTATTTCCTGAATCTGAATTTAGGTAGAAAACAGGAATCAGAATTGCAATTTGCATTTAAATGTAAGGAAGAAGAGTTAACTAATTAAAATATTTTAGAAGCCTTGAAATTTCATAGAAAATATGTAATAAATTAAGCAAGATGGAAAAACAGAATGTATTATCTGCATTAAACTCCTCTTCCTGTCATTCCAATTTGAATTCCAGTTTAACTTCCTCTGAGATGTGGCCAATAAAATTCAAACTCTTAAATTGAAAGAAAGCCAATTCTTTTCATTCAGAATTTTGCACAACCCAGACTGATAAACAGATATATCGACAGACAGACAGATAGATGGATAGACAGAAAGACAGCATTTGAAGAGCTTGTTGGCCAGACGCAGTGAATTTGTTTGATATATCTGTTAATAATTTAACTTGCGCTAGGATTATTTTCTCTCAAAAGTCCTGATTTTATCAAAGATTAAACACATTTAACAAAGATATGAATTGAATTACTACTGCATGTGTGGTAAGAGCTTTGCTAATGATGAGCGGCCTTCAGAATGATTGATGTGGTGAATTATGAGGAGAAATGCATAAGGGGAAGGCGGGGAACTATGCTGTTAGTATGGATGCGGGAGAGTCTGTTTTAATGCGTATACCTCTGATGTACTTTGTGAAGTGCATGTATATTTGTGTATAAAATATATATATATATTGCTACGATGTATGTGGTCTTTGCCCTAATCTGCAATAATAAGCATTTGAACATACAACTTACCTTTCCTGAGCCTGTTCTGTGTGATGTACACTGAAAGTATGAGTATAATAACGTGTTTGTTTGTGGGTGCTGCATACCTTTCCTGACATTGCTGTCTGTGGTGCGGAACTCTCCAGTACTGAGAAGGAAGCAGGCCCTATCGTGGGGGTAACGTTCACGCCCCGCGCATGTCCCCAGCCCACCGGTGGCCGGACTCCTGTCATCTGGCCCCAGCACCTGATCTATGGTGGGACAGTCCTCATTAGCCAGAGCTGCGTTTGCAGCATCTCCATTCTGTTTGGCGTCTGAAAGAAAGAAAGAAAGAAAGAAAGAAAGAAAGAAAGTTACTATTTGTGGCACTGTGTGCATGTGATATTAGAGACAGTCATAGTAACATGAAAAGCCAGGGAAGAGGGAAGAAAAAAGTCAGGGATGAAAAGGGATGAATAAAAAGGAGCAAAACTACATGCACTACAAAAAGAGCAGCATCACTTGATTAAAATGGTGCAGGGGAACTCAGAACATCCCATACACAAACACACACAACATACACAACATGAATGAGTGTCTGAAAGAGTGAGATGTGCACACACACTCAAACAAAGAAGCTGCAGGGGCACTTGTTCTTATAGCTTCCGACACAGCTGTCAAATCTAATCTGACGTGAGCTACCGCTCAACAATTTACAGAAATAAGCCAGGGGCAAAGCCTGCTAAAGACATGGAGAGAGATGGAAAGAAAAAGGAGGATGGGGAAGCGAGGGAGAAGATGACAGAGACCCGTTATGCAGTTGGACCTCACTGGAAGAAATTTAAAATATGTATCACTGAAAACACATATGACCATGAAATCTGTTAAAATGAACACATTCACAGTTGAATGGTGACAAAGGGTGATGAATGGATGACATAAAAGTCTATAGCAAAGGTCATGACATAAGGTTCACTACACCAGATATAACTCACTTTCCTGACAGCCATTAAATGACAACCATTGAAGAGATTATAAAAATACTTATAATACAATAAAATAAAAAACATTTATTCACCCTAGTTTCTTTAAAAATCCACATGGATTTATTTTATCCGTGGAACACTAAAGGAGAAATCTAGAGCAATGTTCAAGCTGCTCTTATCATACAACAGAAGTAAATGGAAACCATGGCTGGATTTTGAGTAAATAATGAGTAAATTTCTGCCTGTGCCTCACATAAAGCTATTGTATTGACCCCATTCAATTTGACTGTATGAAATGGAGCAGCTCAGACAAAACATCTCCTTGTGTTTTCACTGACAAAATGTCATCATATGGGTTTGGAATTTTGGGTGAACCTTTTAGAAACCTTCAGCATAAAATCAGTTACAGAATCAGAGCACCTCTCACGCAAGCCAAAAAAACCCCACCACACTCACACATGGGGACGGGTGACAAACAAATGACTTTGTTATATGTTTCATACTTTTAGTTTTACACTACTTAATAAAACTTCATTAACAGTACACAAGATGGATATGATGCCAGTACTGTAGGTGTCAAGGGCATGTGGGAATGGTTTGAAGCTACAGGAGGGCACATGTGCTAAAGCGTTTCCTCACAGCAAGCATCTCAGGATGCTCATGCTCCCTTTCATTTCCTTGGGAACTTCCAGCTGTGAGAACTCCATGGAAGAGCAAAACAAAGAGGAGGAGCCGAGAACTACAGCTGTCATCCACTTAACATTCCAAAAATTGTACTTTCTAAGATAAACGATCTAACTCTCATCTGTCATAATCTGTATCTTTGGTGTTGAAATCATCTAAATATCGGCAGATATGTCGCAGTAAGCAGAGTGCTGGTGATTTGAAACCTTTTACTTATATTATAGATCAAATATAGCATATGCTAATCTGGCTCATGTTAATCGGTGTGTGCATATCTGTGTTCTGCTCAGTAATGACAGACGGAGCTCTCTCGGCTGCATGAACTCACTGGCTCAACCTGACTGACACCTTCACATGCAAAAACGGTGAAAAAATATGTTCTTAAAGTTCTTAGATCTTGTTGTACTGTTAAACATCCTTACATCAAGAAAAACTTTACTTGAGATGCAAAATATTTTTTACTGGATATATAAAAATATACTGATTAGGAAAATGTGTTGCTGCAGTGAGTGTGCAAATAAACTGCACACACAAATAGTACTGTAAGCTCTATGTCAATCATCTACCAAAAGCTGTTTGCTAGTTTCAGGGTCATTTTCCCTTCTCCTCTGATTGGGTGGGATGTTTTCTGGTAGTCTAAGAAACTGATTGGAACACATGAAGCGTAATCCTGCTATGATTTTAATAACATTCCTGTTCTCTGTCTAACTCAGCCGTGACAGCATAGTTTTGTATATTACTACTCTCAAATACTTGTGTGTGTATGTGTGTAGACATTACACAAGATTATATAAAAGACCCAGTTTAGATGATGACAGCTCATTATAAAGAGCTGTAAGTAAATAGCATTTACTTACAGCTGTGCGTCAGTAGCATTTTTTGTTCATAATATAATCATATAACTAATCCTTTAAGGTGCGGTCACATTAGTGAAATTTAAGCAACATTTTTCAGGCAAAATTATCGCTTGTGAATAGTGAGGCAATGTAGAATGCACAGCTCACACAGTAGTCACTTTCAATCTGTGTGATAAATTCAACTTTTTCACCCTCATGCAAAACTCCCAATCATGTGGTCACAATTTCACCTGCTAAATTTCACAGAGCAACTGTAAATGTGATCGCACCTTTATTGTTGGGAATGTAACCTATTAGTGCAAAGAAACATCATGCACACAAACATGTAAACACATGGGTACACTCACACACACACACACACCTGCTCTGTTAATCTCTATGATTTCCTCCTGTGCAAGAGGACAGTCTCCTGCCATGCTTCCAGAGACCACCATACTGCCCAGCACATTACCCATGATCCTGTGCGGCGAGGCAGTGGCCATGGCCAGGGCGTCTGGCTTGCAGTAGTTGGGCGATCCAGGCTGTGGCGCCCGAGGGATGTGCTTGTTCTTCTTCTTGGGCAGCTTCTGCTTGGCCATGGCCAGAGAGTAGTACATGCCGAAGTTGTTTACAATGACGGGCACAGGCATGGCGATGGTCAGCACGCCCGCTAGGGCGCACAGGGCACCCACTAACATACCAGACCATGTCTCTGGATACATGTCTCCATAGCCCAGTGTGGTCATGGTGACCACTGCCCACCAGAAGCCGATGGGGATGTTTTTGAAGGTGGTGTGGGCGCTTGCCGTGGGGTCGGCCGGGTCGGCGCCAATACGCTCGGCGTAGTAGATCATGGTGGCGAAGATGAGCACCCCCAGAGCGAGGAAGATGATGAGGAGCAAGAATTCATTGGTGCTGGCACGGAGCGTGTGACCCAGCACTCTCAGCCCCACGAAATGGCGCGTGAGCTTGAAGATTCGCAGGATTCGGACGAATCGCACCACGCGCAAAAAGCCCAGCACGTCTTTTGCCGCTTTAGCGGAGAGGCCGCTCAGCGCCACCTCCAGGTAAAAGGGCAGGATGGCTACAAAGTCGATGATGTTCAGCGAGCTCTTGAAGAACTCGGCCTTGTCCGGGCAGAAGATAGGAAGAAGATGGGGAAAAGCAGACTTTGTGAGTCAGACGAAGAGAATGGATGATGGAGGCAGAAAAAAATGAGAAGAGATGGTACGTATACAAAGACCTGTAATGGAAGGGGATAAAGGGAGAGAAAAAAGAAATGTATATTTAGAAGCATAAGGAAATGGAAGGGGGAGAAAAGAGGAGGGGAGGGCTGGTGAATTATAGCAGTGTGCGCTGTGCGTGGCCACCATTCTGAAAACAGAGATGTCATGTTGACTCTCCTGCAGATAGATGTGCATTGATTGGCTAGTACACGTCTCTTGTTAAAGCCCACATCCTCTTCTCCTATCACCTGCAATCAATATAATCTGTTTATCTCAGTCCACCTCAGTGCCAGCATCCATACTATTATTTTTACGTAACCCGACATTACAGCCATTTATTTGGAAGTGTGTGTGTGTGTGTGTGTGTGTGTGTGTTTGTGTGTTTGTGTGAGAGAGAGAAAGAGAAACAGTGCTGCTGCTGCCGCCATTCCCCCTCTGCAGTGCTCACATTATTCTCCCCACTCCCCGCTCCTCATTTCTCCCCCTTCTCTCTGTCAGTCCACACTTGCCCCTCCTCCCTTTACTGGGGAAAACCATTCCTTTTGCAGAGGAATATCTGTCCACCTTCTTTTCTGGCTCCTCTGCACTGACAGTCCACCTACCCTGTTATAATTTTTTTCTGTGGCTTTTCTGCAAGTTGCCCAGATGTCCCACACATTTCATAATGACATGGCAGACATTTACACTACAAAAATAATTTTCATGATCAGTATTTTCTAAATGCATATATATATATATATATATATATATATATATGGAAACATTTGTGTCAGAAATTGTTGGCATTCAAAAAGAGATAAACTGATTAATTGATCTTCATTTTGCCTACATCTGAATACAGTATCTGACAGTTTTCAAGCCAACTGGTAGTCGCAATTCATTTGCATAAAGTTAAAATACTCTCAACTTTGGCAGACACTCAACACACTCACATCACCAAAGTTCACTGTCGCTCAAGTGACTAATACTGGCCAACTCTTCGTAAATTAATAACTTTACGATTGCTTTCACACTGCAGAGCACTGTATGAGCGAACAGCCCTTTATTCTTGAAGGACACAAAACCTCAGCGCTTATGCAAGAACAGAATTTAGTTTTTCTTGTATCACTGCAGTCTGGCTCCACAGTTGTGGAAGGAAGTCTAAGAGCATCACTGTTTAAAGATTTAGAGGATGAATAAGGACTCTAGCAGGACAGACTCTCCTGGAATGAAGTAACTCTTCACCATAATGCCTTAATGCCACTCCTGGGAGTGTGGACACGCTCCTAATGGTTGTTTGCTGCCCACAGTTCTGCTCTTGTTCCTGTATTCCATTACAAGATACTCTGATGCTACGGACATGTTTGTACCCATCATGACCAGCTTTTTCTGTAAGAAAGGTTGAGTGAAATATGACCTCTTGAACCTGCTGATTCCATGCTGTCAAACTTTCTAAAAATGTGCTGAAACATAACAGACAAAAAAAAATAATAGGTGTGTGTGCATGCATCTAAATGTCCTAAAACCAGCCTCCCGTGTATAAGACAGAATATCAGAACCATAGGAGAATGAGAATGGATTGGAATACACATTGGAACGAGTATTGTTATAAATGAGTATTGGGCCACAATATTGGTCTAAATGAGTCTACTCCACCAAGCTCTCACTGGATTATTACAATTAATGGCAAAATGAATATTTGGAAATGTAAATAATAATATTTCAAATAATTGTTTCCTATTGTAATGTATATTAAAATGTAATTTGGTCCTGTGCCACAAAGCTGAATTTTTCATCATTACTCCAGACTTCAGTGTCACATGATCCTTCAGAAATTATTCTTTATTATATCCTCTGACATAACCCCTCAGAGGACCTCAGATGATGCCAACCCTGAAACAACATACAGAACTACCACATTTTGCTATAAGTTTGATTGCATCATATAATAATTGCTGTTAACAGTGCTCATCGTCTGTTTGATTACGTCTTTAATTAATTACGTCTTTAATTGATTTTTCCGTACATTTCTGCCATATGTACATTAACTGACAGTCACCACTGATAAGCTACCACTAAATATTGTAGAAACTTAATTTGCTGTAAAGTTGCTTTGCAATGATTTGTATCGTGAAAAGCGCTATACAAATAAACTTGAATTGAATTGAATTGAACGAGTGTACAGTATAACCACAACTTTCCCCAGCACACCAGTCAAGAAGATCATCTAGGTTTAACATCGAATTTCACACTCTTCTGGGCCCTACATCTTTATATATGACTCTGTGTGTAAAAAAAAAAACGGTATCAATATTTATCGACGGTACACCTTCTTCGATAACGATATAAAAAATGTTCGATATAGTGCACAATATAGGCACGTGCTATGGGTGACGCAGACAGCACACACAAACACGAACACATGCTGAATTGAGTGCTGTGCCTGCCTGTGATGACGAGATTGTGAATAAAAAATGAATATTAGTCGAATTTAAAATAAACATTTGCATTTGAATGCAAAAATAGTACAATCAAATGTTAGGAGTGCGTCAGGGAGTGTCATCAGTGGAGCACGAGATGCGGTGGTGATGATGTAAGTGACATTGTTGCATTTTAATGTTTTGTTAGTCTAGCCCACGAGATGCGCAGTTGCTGCATTATGCATTCAAAATATTAGAGAAATATAGAAGCTCAATGCGGAGAAGATCTTGAATGGGTTAAAACAGAAACCAAGCCATTCACACAGATGCATATTCAGCGCATTTTTAGACGGACAAATATGACTGCTGCACTCATGTCTCACAGAAGAGATGCATAGAAAGTCATGCAAAGTTAAAATAGTTTAAACTTTTAGAAAACACGTCGCGAATTTGTGGAGGTTTATTCCTTTTCACTGCGTCTCATGTTTTTAAACGCAATCAAATGCAAAAAAAAAATTCATAATTTTTTATGCAATTTACGAAATTATATTTGATTTATATGAGTTAATGTAGACGTAATACAGTTTTTTTTATAGACTTATGTTCTTGCGTTGACAATTTAAATGTGCTGCATTATTTTGCTCATTGCGCCCTCCTGTGGCCTCGGGAGACAAGCCAAAAGTTTCCTTAAGACCTATTTAATCTGCATATAAAACATTAGAAATTAGATATTTGTTTAATTTTTATTGTGTGTTTGACAGTTAAAAAAAAAAATATTTGTTGTTTGTCTCAATAAATTGGGTTAATTTAAAAATACAGTGGTTAAATTAAAAAAAAAAATTCTATCGCTCTGTTTTAAAAAAGGTTATAAAAAATGTCAATAATTATCGATACCGAACGATATGAAACATTATATCGTTGATAAATTTTTTTGCTATATCGCCCAGCCCTAGTGTAAATTTAAAAAGATGAGATATATTTATAGATGGTGCTTTCTTTCATGTAATTATCACACATAAAAAACTATATTGCATACAGAAAGCTATTATGTGCTTTTACTGTATTTCTGTACATATATTATGTAATTATTATTCATTATGAGATTATTTTCAGGATAATTAAGCATATTTCACCCTTAAATTATCATTACTATAATGCATCTGATATTGTCTTAATATTTTTTAAAGATTATTATTACTTCAATATTTTTTCCTTTTTTTTTTACATAAAAAATAAATCACTTCTTTTAAGGCAGAAAAATGCTACCATATGTATAAATGCTTTAAAATGACTATATTAATATTTTTTCATGTTACGGTTTACATTAAAATGAGACTCTGCAATAAATAAAACATATAGCATAAGATCATCAACTGTAAGATTCGCAATCATTTCAAGAACTAATTGCATATTTATGAGAAATCTTTTCTTTTTTGTGCCATTTATATAGGAGTATGTTCAACACAACAAGACCAAGTGAAAGCCCACACTCCATTTAGGATTAGCACAATCATAATTTTTCCCCAGAAAATTGCAGAAACTGTTCCAGAAAGCTCAGGAGAACCTTCACCATTACTTGGCTTGAGAGCGGTCGAGTAAGTAAGTAAAGCGAGCTATTCCAAGAGGAGCATTTAAGTGTTGCTTTTCCCAGAGACACTGTGTCAGCTCTGTGGGACACGCCTGCTAGATTTCTGGATGAATTGCCTGCAGAGCAAATACTAAAAAACATACTCTAGCAAATCAGAAGGCCTGATGAGATCAAAAAGCAATGCATCATGTCTTACAAAACAGCAATATTTTGTTGTATCGTGCAGAACACTGTACAGAACACAAAACTGCACATTCTTTGAAGCACGAAAGGTCAAAGCCTTGGTCTCAGATTCCTCTAAACACTGTTCTTACACCAGTGGTGTTTGTGTGTGCTGCATAGTGTCATTGAAACAGCTCACACTGAGTCAGTGTATTAATTCCTTCCAAAATCCCCCCAATAATATTCAAAACCTACACTGGTTATGTAATATATGCTACATGTTGATTCTGACTGACGACAGCACTGGCAGCCACACTGAGTTTACTGTGTAAGTTAAAACCCTCCACAAGTTACTGTACCATCCCTTGTTACAGTGGAGTTCAAAGGTCCGAGACCTTCAATATGAATGTCACAAATTTGTACATTTGAGTAATGACCTAGTAATAGGGGGCTACAGAAGCATAATACAGTTGCCAGTCATGTTTTATGTTCAGTTTAGACAGAACATAGTTCTCACAAAAAAAACTTAACTCAATTTTAACTTAACTTCCCTGTTGAAAAATCCAGCATATGCTGGTTAGGTATGTTTTGAAGCATGGCTGATGGTTTGAGCTGGTTTAAACTGGTCATGTGCTGGTCCTAAGAAACTAGCTCCTGCTCAGGACCAGCACATGACCAGCTAAGGACCAGCTTAAACCAGCTCAAACCAGCAGCCATGTTTCTAAACATACCTAACCAGCATATGCTGTTTTTTTCAACAGAGTTAAAGGGATACTCCACCCCAAAATGAAAATTTTGTCATTAATCACTTACCCCCATGTCATTCCAAACCCCTAAAAGCTTTGTTCGTCTTCGGAACACAATTTAAGATATTTTGGATGAAAACCATCAGCTATACCGACAGCTTGTGACTGTCCGATTTGACTGTCAAGTAAATTACACTGTCAAGGTCCAGAAAAGTGTGAAAAGCATCGTCAGAATAGTCCATCTGCTATCAGTGGTTCAACCATAACGTTATGAAGCGACAAGAATATTTTTGTATGCGAACAAAACAAAAATAACGACTTTATTCAACAATTTGTCTCCTCTGGCTCTCTGCATCACCGTAGCGCCATTTTGGAGAATAACCACTGAATGCAAGCAGCGTACGCTCTTCTGTGTCAGCCACGACACAAGG